TTTCAAATGTACAACTGAAGAGGGAATTATTTATTTAAATATATGCTCACAGAATGAATAGAAACTGATTAATGGAACTGAAAAAAACCAAACAAAATAATCTCTTATTTATCATACATATTGTATTTATAATATATTTGGAAGTTGCATAGCATGCAACTGTGGCACTTTATTAGGTTTTTGAAGCCATACAGTCCTAACAAAGAGTGAGGTTATTTCTACTCCCAACTTTCTTTGATGCATTGAAAGGAACTTAAGGGCTTCTTACTCACTTTGACCTGTCTGCGTGGCAAAATATATTATGTAAAACTACACCAGTGTGGCCTGTGTGACATGAGTTTAATTCTCTACTTAGAAAAAATATTATGTAAAGTCATGAAAGCAATAGAGTTTATAACAGATAACAAACAAGAGTTGCTGAAATTCAGAGTCTGTATTCAAGAGAAAGACTTTAATTCGTCGTTTTCAGCTTGAATTCCATTAACAAGGGAGCTTGATTGAGATATTTGCCAACAATGCAGACCATCTGAAAAATTACTTTTATTCTCAGAGTTTCTAAAATGTGGCAGAATGGAAGAACTTTTAGACCAGTGTGTGTGTTGGATCCCCAGTGAGAGCACGATTTATGGATTTATTGTTTGGGAAGCAGGGTCTGAGTGAGATGAGCTGTTGGATCACCTGTATCGGCATAACCAGTATTCTCTCTTCAGTTCCCAGACACCAGATGGCTTGTCACCAAATAGTCTTTCTGATACCCTGTGAAATTGAAAATGATATTTTTTCAAGGTATCTGATGCAGAAAAACAAGGAATGATCCCTGTAACTCACTGCCTGCTTTCATTTCCCCCTGGTGACTGTCCCAGAGGGGCTCAGGGAGCATCAGTCAGGCCCAGTTTGTGTTTGTACCCTGCAGATCAGACCTTTGTGCACAAGGAATTGCTCTACATTAAGCCAAGGGCGCTTTTCATATTAGGGGGTTCTCTGTGACATTTGCAAACAGTTTTGGTGTAGTGTATTTATATAATCCGTTGTCAGGAATATGGCAAGCTAAGCCCTCAGACATGAGTTTATGATGTTTGCTACAGATCCCCTGAAATGTCAATATATTTGTTCAGTTGCCCTTAAGAAATCTGTTAGGGAGGGGAAAAAAAAGGGGGTGTAATTGTTGAAAATACATGTTCATGAAATCAGAATGCGTGTGTGTAAATATATTCCCATAGGTAAATTTTACATAATTACTAGAATGTTTTTTTAAAAATTAATTTGCTAATGAAACAACATGATTTTTTTCTCTTCATGTAATCGTTAGATTTGGAGTATCACAAGAAAAACTATTCTGTAATGCTTATTTCACTGGGAATAAAACCAAAGATTAAGTTTAATTACTTTTCCACAGTGGAAGAGATTTTCAGGAGCAAAAGAGGCTTTGCTGAGAGATGGATATATAAACTTTATTCCTTTCTCTTGGCATATGAAGCAGTAAGGAATACTCACGAAAATGTGGTTTAGAACAATCTGTTTATACACCTTATATTGCAGTCTTCCAGTGCTTATTCATTTTCCTTTCTGTGCAAGACTGACAGTAATGGATAAATGGATGCATCCATCCAAATACATAAAGCAAATAATCTTCATAAGGGAGGTATCTTTGTACTTGTGCATGTACTTGGCTTTAATCCAGACCATAACAAGTTTGTTTATGCCTAACTGCACAGTTTTTCAAAAGGAGGTGGGTTATTTCTTTTCCTCATTTGAACTTGTATTGAAAAATATTCCAGCAGCCATCAGTATCTCATGTGAAAACAGCATGAATTAGCTACAGGCCATCACTGAAATTCAAAACATCCTACAGAAGCTTTGTTCCTTGGTTTTGTTTATCTGCCAGCTGTAAACATAGACCATTCAATTCTGTTGCATTTCAGATGCTATTTTTGTGCTGTATTTTTAATATGTTTGGCGCTTCTGTGATGACAGCAGAATCTATGAACAGTTAGCTGAAGGATTCCAGAATAACTCGATGTGATTATAGGCATTTGTCTATTAATACCAAAAAATTAATAGTATGGAAGTGCACTTCCCTGCCGTAGCATTAACAGATGAGTAAACAAGGTGATCATTGCTGTTTTTTTTTTTTTAAATGTTCTTTAGACTGCTACAGAGGACTGCTCCAAATACATCCTCTGTAGGTACAAATTAGACCAAATGTCAGTTCAGAAGTGCAAAATGACCTGCACTGTTGAGGTCTGTGCAGAAATAATCAAGGCAGCGTCGTCACACAGTGCTGGTTCATCTGCAGCCTGCAGAGGTTGCTCAGGTGTCCTCTCCATGCTCATCCCACTCTCTGTGTGTGGCCCTTACAGGGACAACACGACTGGAGGACTTGGTATATTTTCAACATCAGTCCAACATCAGGTTGTTCTGGTCTCTGAGGATCTAGTCAGAATAGCTGCAGATTTCCTAATGCAGCTCTGCATTAAACAGGCTTCTTCAGTTTACAGCTGCTGGAATAACCCAATTCCAGACAGAAGTTCCAGGAAGGATTTGTTCTAGGGTGGCTGGTATCACCATGTCCGAGAGCAGACCAGAGTCACTTTTCTTTAAATCTTCACGTATTAATTATACAGTTCCCCAGAGTTTGATTATATCAACAGCAGTACGAAGATTTATTTTTAGTTTAAGATTTTTGTGATTGTAACACAATTACACTTAAGAGTTCAGTAAAAAGCATGTAAGAAGAGACCCATTAATATGTGGGTCTGCAGGGATTGCTGTTCACTGTGGAAAATTAGAAATCTGTGCCTTGCAAACAGCTTGCATAAAATAGCCCAATTTTGCAACTGCAAAATGAGCCAAAGAGCCCTTTTCTTACAACACCATGTCTATCTGACCTCTGAAATCTTGTTTCTCAAATTTTATTCTAACCTTTAAGAACTCATAAATTAATTCTTTGTAAGAGATTTAATTTATTAGTCTTAATACAGTTTCTGGGTAAATCATAAATACACTGAATAGCTCTAAATGTCTGGCTCTGTTAGAAATCCTTCAGTAGAAGACTCGTACATATTAAATGAGAGAAATCCCAAAGCACTGTTGAGAAGAGCAAGGTATGACCACAGGGAAATAAAACGGGGCTGGTTTGTACTGTCAGGCAGACTGAATATTTTATCATATTTTCGCTGTTGTTGCAACAGCTGAGTGAAGTGCATCTAAATCCAATAAAATCTGGTACCCAGTGTTTCTGAGCACAGGGGAGCTGTTTGGGTATGATTGCAAAGGTTCCATGTCTGACTGTAGAGCTGTCACTGCCTCACCCTGCTGTGTCACCTCGTAGGGCATAACCAGCAGTGGTGTTGGTCACTGTCCAGGCCTGCACAGCAGCACTGCAGGGGGGAACTGCAGGCTCCCACTTCACTGGGTGTCTTCTAAGACTTTTCTCCTGCTGGCAAAGCAGAACTACCCTAACAAAGGTAAAACTCTGCCTCATCTTATTGCTTTCTGGTGCTGTAGATGTGCATGTGTAATACTGACCTCTGCATACAGGTGCTTCATTGATCTGGTTCTAAACCAGGGAAAGTGCTCTCTCAGCAGCTTTTTCAGTTACCATTTCGTTCAAAATTTACTTGGAGCCATAAAAAATGTCCTCTGTCAAAGTTGACTGGTCTTCCTAACGGCAAAATCTTCATGTGACCAAAAGCCGCAAAACTCAAAGACAAGGAGAGAAGGAACTTTACTGGGGATTTCATAGCTAAAAGATGAACATAACTGTCTTGTGATCCTGCAACTTCCTTACTGCAGAAGCAGATACTTTGGGCAGCAGCAGCCATTTCTAGGCTTCTCCATGTAGCTGAGAACAGGGAAGGTTCAGCAGCTCCTGGTTGCCAGGAATGCCACTCCAGGCAGGAGCTACCCTGCAGTGGCTGCCAGCAATAGGAGAGCCACAGCTGATCACTGGTGTCCTAAATTGATTCTTCTCTAATATTCTGGCAAGGAACAAGCTTATTGCAAATTTGATTTGTTTTTTAATTTGAACTCATTGGCAAAGTTCTGCATTAGACAGGGACCAAGATGACATGTTTTTTAAAGACTCTGAATCAGAGAATACCTGGAGAGCTGACCCCAAAATCCAGGGGCTCCTGGCAAGCAATGCACCGTGCATTGAACTCCCACTGGAGTCAGTGGAAAATTTTACTGCCTGTTAACCTAATTTGGAGTCATAATGAGAAAAAGGATGAGCTGTATTTATCACTGACATTTTCTTCTTTACAGAGAAAATAATTGAAATATGACTAAACAGAAAATGTGATTTTGGTTGCCAATTACTGTGGCCTTCTTTTTGCTGGCCAGCCTGATGCTTGTTTAGTTTCTGTCTAATCCATCAAGAGTGTTGCATCCCAAGCTGGCTCCCTTAGTCATTTACCAGGCAATGTCATTCCTTCCATTAGCTTCCCTTTCTGCTTGGATTAAATGTAAACATTGGTCCTTGTCTTCATTACCAAGCAAAGTCAGCAGTTCCCTTGTTATTCTGTTGACAGTACTCAATTATTTCCATATTTTCCCATCTTGATTACTTTTGTTTATTTAGAGAGTACAGGTTTAATTCCACTATGCCAAGTCTCAGCTCTCTCTCTGTGATTATGTTTCCAGGTGCAGGTGCACTGTTTTCTATGGGCTATTCAACTCAGTGGGAATTTCTTTTTATCTTAGGGAAACTAAAAATAATAGGCTAAAATGAAGAATGATCTAAAAGCTCCCAGGGGTTGAGATTATGGCCTAAATTTTTGAGGTTTTTAGGTCATGGATCACTGTTAGTATCAAGCTTATGGTTGGAGTGCAATTACATGCCCTTAGTATTTAAAAAATAAAATCAAAGGCCAGAAAAAGTGATTGCTATAAAGCACTGTTCTTCACTTTATCATTGCCATCATATTTTCCAGAAAAGATGATGATTCTCTGTGGTTCTAGGAACAGTTTTAAAATTTGTTCATTTTTTACATTCATAGCTATTATCGTTAACATGACATGGATTCAAATCTGCATCTGTCCCTGAGAATGTCACATGAGCTCTCTCCTGCTTTGTTGCACATGTTGATATCATGCTCTAATCTTCAGGAGAAATGCAGATACTTGAGAGAAGCAGCTGATACCTCTTGATGGAGCAATTAAAACTCAAGCACTTCCTTGGAAGATCAAAACAACATGTTTTGATCACAACTTTTCTTTATCATTCCATTTGCTTTTATTGTGATTTTAAAAGAAGGGGCTTGTTCTTAAAAATAAAATAATGATGGTAATTGTTTGTGCAGGTTGTTTTTGATGATGGGCAGTTTACTTGAAAAACTCAAAGCAAAGGCAGCTAAGTTGCATTATTCCTATGGAGACTATTTAAACTATGTTGAATGCTGTACTTGGTAGTGCTTTGGGGCAAATATTCTTGCCTGCCTGAATTTGGAGCAAAGAAGAGTCAGGGAACATGGAGGGAACAGAACTTCTCAGCAGGGAAACAGCAGCCAACTTGCTCCACCAGGGCCATCCCCCAGCTCAGAACTCAAGCACCAGGAGCTGTTTGCTCCCGAGCACGTGGAAAAACAGGTGGCAGATTTCCAGGAGACTGGTAACTGTGCTGCCTTTCCCATTAAGCTGAATTATGAAGCATTGAAGGCTAAAAGTCTGACATGGTAAAGCAAGGCAGAAATGTTCACCAAGTTTTTAATTGCCATTAAAATTGCCATTAGTCTGGCTAAGTTCATGAGTGAGCTCAGTATCAGGTAAATGATAGGAATGAACAGGTAGGAAGTAATATTTTAAGCTTTCAGATTTTTATTTTTTTTCCCTCCTTGGCATGAAAAGTGATTCACTTTTTGCATTTTGTGTTCTGTGTAAACTAGAGGGGGAAAGTTCACAGGTGTTGGTGCTTAACTCCTTTCATGGGCTTCTCATACACTGGTGTAAACTCTGTTCCTATACCCAATGCCAGTCGTATTGATTATGGGCTGTTTAAAAGCTAATTTGGTAATTAAAGTTGTCTTCCTTCCATGTCATTTTTGTGTGCAAACAACTTGTGAATATGGAGGAGGAAGCGCCTGGCTAGTCACTGTAATGCACTGCTGCCTCAGCACGTGGAAATTGCTACTTGTCAAACAAGAGATTTAGTCCTTTTATTTTCACATATGAGATGCATTGTGAATCCTGCTGCACGTCCTCTGTCTTTAGTTACCTCAATATTTTCAATAAAAATGTATTTAGCTGTCTCTGCCTTCCTTAAAGATAATTACTTACTAGCAGGAAAAAATAAATCCAGGTATTTACTGAGCACCGTTCTTCTGAAAGCAAATCCTACGTTTTGTTATTATATAAACAACCTTTGAACATGTTCTGCTTCTGAGCCACTTGTTCCCTGAATCACCTTTCCCTGTGTGTGGTAGGTGGTTCTGCTCACACAGGTTCAGCCAACCCCTGACAGGAAGAGAATGAGGAGAGCTGAATGTTGGTGATTTCTAGATGGAAAAGGGTGGCACAGCCAAACTTGCTGCCTTTCAACTAAGAACAGAAATACGCAAAATAATTACAACAATTATAAATAAATGCAAATGTGTGTTTGGTTTAGGTTTCTGGCTTTCTAGTTAGCTGTGAAGGGATCATTTGCAGGAGCACATGCATTATGTTACTCTGGCTGGGGCACCATGAGACATGGGAAGTAACCATTCCCAAATGCAGGTGTTATTATGCATTGGAAAGCCAAGGAATGAGCCTCTGGGTGTAAGTATTGCTTAGATGAAAGGTCACCTTTACAGGGTTCTGAGCATTTCTTGAATGAGAGTGTATCCAATTGCCAAAATTAATCATAGGTATTATTCATTTATATAACTGATGGATTCAGTAACCATCTTGTTATGCCAACTTCAAAATAAAGTTACCAGAAGTAAAAAAAGATCCTGTCATTACAGTTAGGTACAGTGCCATGGTTTACAGAAGAATTCAAATATCAATGCAAATGTTGATGAAGAAAGTCTTTATGCTGGTATGGAAACTGAATTATAGCATGTGAATGTTAAAGTCATGGTAATTTGAATTATAACAAATGGCAGCACGATTATGTGTCATTATTTCACAGCAAGAAGAGATCAAATACTTCATGAGTACTGTGTTGCGCTGTAGAAGTGTGTAGTGGAAGTAGAAGGAGTTGTGCATTAACCAAATGGTTGGACAGAATATTAGAATTAATGCTTTTCATTTCTTGAAATTTCATTTCAGATCTAATCTTGATGGGAAAGGATTGTTCAGTTTGTAACCTGACAACTTTGCTTTAACAGTGTCTTCAGGATTTTCAGTGTTGAAGTGTACTATAGAGGGATTATCTTACCCTTTTCTCTCTATCTCTTCTGTTAATAACTGACTGTTTAAACATCCCAACTCAGCCATTTTTATTAATGCAGGGAGATCACAGTTTCTGTGATCAGTTTGGGGACAGTGGCAGGAATGTGGCTCCAATTATTTTTACACTTCAACAACTGGAAAAAAATATTTTACCCCGTTGACTGCAAAGCATGAGTTACTCCATTATGTGAAATGGTTTGATGAATTCAGAATTTTAGTTAATAATGCCACTAGACAGGTGTTTTATTTGATTTTATGTTGTATTGGCAAGTCAGAATTGTCTAATAAGGATATCCTAATGTAGTCTAGACATTGTTTAATACTACCTTTCTGAGGAGGTTGCCTGCCTGAGTCCAGTTTACATGAATATTGGGGTTATAACCAGAAATTAGATTATTGTAATGACTAACAAAGAATGAGTAACATAAGAAGCTGGCAAAAATCACTGAATTCATCTGCCAGTGAATGCCTTTTTTTCATGATGTGTGTTTAATACAACTCAAGCAGAACTAGAATTATGAATATCTCCAGAGATGCATTTTCATGTGAGGCAGAGCTGGAGATAGATATCTGAAATACCTGATCCTGTGCTTTCCTGCACTCTCAAGGTGTGCTTATTGCTTCTGATCTCTGGCTGATACAAAAGTATCTCCAATTGCAGATGTGTTACACTGTTTTTATAGAAACTTCTGTAATTTTATCTGAAGAGGAGACAATGGGATGGGAAATAAATTTCCTCGTGTAAACGTTCACAGCATCAGCCAAGACAATACTGCAGTTCCATATGCTGAGTATGGAAAGAGAAACTCACAAAATGTAGTTTACATTTGGATACAGGGAGAGCAATAAATCAAAGGTATGAATAAACCAGCAGCTGATGAAAAGGACCGGTTATTTTAAGCTATTTTCTATAGATGCACCTCAGGCAGAACTTGACACCAAGACAAAATCAATGCAAGTGAATCGTTTGCCAAACAAACGCTGGGCAGATCAATCAGGAATGCTTGAAAGCTAAACAATGGCCTGGTGGGAAGGAGGAATTGATTGCCTCAGCAGGCTGCTGCTTTTCTTCAGAATGGGACAAGGAGAGAATGTAGAAAAGAACTTGAGCCTTTAATACACAGACATTCCACTGCTGAACAGGGAAAGGCCTGGCAAGCCTCTACCTGCCTGCCAGACTCGGCCTAGAAAATTCAACCCTATTTAGTTTTCAATGGCTCAGAAAGCAAAAGGATAATGTTGTATTAAAACCAAACAGGTGTAACTGTTTGGTTGGTGTAGGTTGAAGAGTCAGTGCTGACTGCAGGAACTTGGAAGAGTTACTGTAGCACAGCTACTCCCTGATTTAGGTCTATGTCTTTTAAATTTGTATTTTAATCTGAGTAAAACAATCAGCTATGGGTGAACCCTAGCTCAGCCCCCCAAATTAGCCTAGAAACTTTCTACTGAATGAGACAAATGAGAGGGTTTGCAAATGCTGCACATAGTTGTGGCTTATTCCTCCCTCCTAAACACAGGGTGGCCAAAATAGATTTGTATGAATTTCATCTTTATGTGCACTTGCAAGAAATGCTGACAGGATCATTTTAAGGTCTTCATACCTCTGCCCAAGAGTTCATGGCCTGTCGGACCTGTCGAACTGTCATGTCGTTTAGAAAGGTGTCTTTTTTAGTGCCAGAGACTTTATAGGTATCATTTGACCTCAAGGCCAAACTAAATTATTAAACCTAGTAACAGGAGGCAAGAGATGGGAGATGAATCTTTTCCTCCTACTTGATTACCATGTGTTTTGGGGGTGGGTGGTCATTTTGGTAAGAAAGCTGGAGCTGAAACCAAAGTGAGATGACTGGTTTCCTCATCAGGTTTTGGAAAAGACCAGATGGAAAGGGACTAAAAGATATATACCTTTAAATTTATGACTCTTTTTTAATACTTTAAACTTTTTTCCCCATAGAACATGTGGTCTGTGGAAGTTGAGGAATTCAATTTCAGCTTCAGTTTGCTTTTTCATGCTGGATGCATGAAGACCTGATTCCTCAGATATACATTGCTATGTAAACCTACATAACATAATGATTTGTCTTAGAATTTGGATTATCATTATAAAAATTAGCTAAGACATTTAAGACAAATTATCTCTAATTTAGTTATTAGATATATCTTGTTCTGGAGTAGCATCATTTAAATTAGCAGAATTACTTGCAATGTCTGTCCTTCATTCCCTGGCACTGGTGTTCATGGAATTATCCTGAATGATCTGGTTACCTCAGCCCTGCCTGTCAGGGCACACTGATATTAATTCATATCTCTTCATTTTAGAGGGATTCCTCCTGCCCCTTTTGCCCTTTTTCCTTTGGATGGCATTGCTCCCCCTGGGCTGGCGCTAATGTCGTTTTGAGGACATGCCAGCAGGAGGAGCTTGTGGATTAAAATGTGCTTTCAATAAAGCAATCACCAAATTATAGTAATTGCATATAACTCTGTACTCTCTTCTGCAGTGGAAACTACCATGTACCTGTAAATTTGTCTGTCTGCTCATAAAGCTCATTAACCTATTTTAGATTGAGCAAAGCTCAATGAGGTGAAAATTTAATTTTATTTAATTTTATTCCATTGTATAATTGATATTTAGGTTATTTTATGTTTACACGTTCTGAAAAATACCTATCTTAACACAAAAGCACAACTCCCTGAAGCCAATATCCCATGCTCTGTTTTACAAGCATTAAGAATATCAACACTGCATTGCTCAATTTTATAAATAGTATAAAAATTATGAGTAATAATATTCATGTTACTAAAAGAAATCCATGCTAATGAGTGCAGCTGAAATTGGATTCACATGATCAGAATTCTCTACAGCAACTTAGATAACATTGCTGAGTTTCAAAATAAGAAATCATGAGGCCACAGTTGTAAGTCCAATTATCCTTGGCTATCAAGAATTAATAACATATACTAAATTAATTTTTAGACTTTTTATTTTAGTGACAAGAAAAATAAGGAATTAAAGATATAACTTGTTAATTTTGTTACTGAAGAAGAGATGGATGTGTACCACAGGTATTTTATGCATTTTTTCACATAAAGGTTCTTAGTTACCTTGAAAGACTAGATACTTTAATAGGAATGTGATGAATCTTGAGGTAGGAAAATCATTTATTATTTTAGCTAAGACTCTTTTGTCCTTAGAAATTTAGACAAGTTAAATAATGCACTTCCATTATAAAGCCTTAACACTTTTTTTTTTTGGTTAACATTTAGCATCTGAATTGAACATAATTTTTCCACAGTGTTTTTCCCCTCTTACTTCTGTGGGAACAGCCAGTTTGTGTGCACTGTAGTTACAAAGGTGATGGCTACCAGTGAGGCACCTGCCCTTTCCTGCAGAAGTGCTCTGCTACCTGCAAGTGAATTTTCCACTCGGTCCCAGACTTGTTAAAGGCTTTTGCTTTGGTGCCATCTCTCCCATGTGGGTGCTCAGAACACCTCAGTAGAGCCTGAGTGTGCCTGTGGCTTTGGCAGGGCTGTCTGACCTGTGTGTTGGGAAGGTCACTGCAGGAAAAAGGGAACTGCACAGAGAAATTCAGGGGTTGTTTTAAAATATATCTCTGTTTGTTTAAGATGGCCAGAACTGCAGATGAACAATTCCTCCCCTATGGACTTTTTACCATGTTCTGAAGTTAGGTATTATAAGGTTGGGGTTTTTAACTTGTAAAAGTAAGCTTGGCTTTGTGTGCTGTGTGATTTGATTGACTAGCTGAGTTGCTAAATGCAAACCAGTTTTATTTATTGATCTGTATGTAAGCAGTTTAATTAAAAACCATGTGGAGACTTCTAAAAGAATGGCAAAAGTACAATGCTATCCCTTTATACTGTAGTTTTCCGAGGAGTCTATAGCCTGAATGTCACCTAGGTAAGCTGGAATTTTCTGTTACTGCTTGTTTTTGAAGTTGATGTTCTTCTCTGAGTCTTTTCCAAAAGGCTCATTCATGTAAGACTGTAGTCTGTTGTGGGTCAGAAGAGACTGAAGAATTCCCAACAGGGATGTATTACTAATGTACTTCATCATGTAATGATACATCCATCCATAATTAGAGGATTGTTAATTGAGCATCATCCAAGCTCTCGTCTATTTTGCTTGTACTTTTATCACTTCAAAATGCTTTTCCCGCCATTTCTGAACTGCAGCTCATGGAGACATGCTTTTATCCTGTAATTTGCAATCTTCCATGAAGTATTGGAAGTTCTACTAGTTCTCATTTCTGAAAGAGCCCATTTTGTCGTTCACACTTGAGATACCAGTAGAAAGAACGCAGTTCCGTGATGTTGGAGATGTGTGCTGTACTTTGAAGTCATGTGCCAGGCTCTCATAACATCTGCTTTTTTCATGTTGGAAATAACCACAGAATAATTTACATGTAACGTAAATTAGCTACTTCTGTCTTTATGTTTTGTCTCCCTAGTGATATTCCACCTTCTGGAGAGCCAGTGAGCAAAGGCAATCGCTCGAGGGTGACCCCGCGCTTCCCCAAACTGTCCCGCAGCCACCAAAGGGAGCCCCGGAGCCTGGAACCCCAGAGTGGGGATCTCTGACCCTTTTTCCTAGTTGTGAACACGGGCACCACGTACTTTAAGTTGTTCTGTGATTCCTTCCTAGCCTATATTTATAATTTAAGCTCCTGAAGAGACTACAGCTGCATCAACTTAAATCCTGAAAAGAGACATTCATTGCCAAGGGTCATATCCTGATTAACTACTTTGGAAGGCAGTAATCACTTTCTCAAAAGAATACGAGGGCTCTTCACCAGAGCTCAGCAAACTGATGGCATTTTCTTTGTTTTGTAAAGCTGCACTGCACATATTCTCCTTTGTTCCCCTGAAGTCCTTCTTTTACAATGAATTCCTTGTTTGTATTATGTTGTCTCCCTTTTAACATGTACATTTTTCTGTTCCAGAGAGACATGGGTATCATGTCAAGACAATTTTTTTTTTCCTTAGGAGAACAGTTATGATTATCACTACTTAATAGGTCAGAAGGATGTGCTTAAAAGAACCTCACTAATTTATTACCTTTTGTAAATAGAAGGACTGGGTTGTTTTGTTTTTTTTTTTTTTACTGTAAACCTCCGACACGCAAAGGTTTTTTAAAAAACTTGACAATGTAGATGATGAGAAAAACATTACAGGTGGAAAAATAGCTTTTGTACATTTCTAGTTAGATATTCTCAATAGCTTTCATTTGTGGGAAGTATTCTTTAAAATCAGAGAATGTAATAATTTTTTAGTAAAATTTCAGTCCTGCTGGAAGGCAGGTGCAATATTATTAATTTTTACAAACCACTGCAAGGATACACAAAATTAGCATGGTGCAAAATAGCGCTTTCAAGTCTTGGGTTATATTTTGTTATCAATTTGTTGCTGATGTTACAGAATAGTCCATCATTAATCTGATTTTGTAAAACCCTTCCCATAGTGATACTTAAAAATTGCCTGTAATGAAAGTGCCTGTTACCCATCACCTCTTATTGAAAAGTAATTTGTAATGCTACTACTGTAAGAGTGACTAAAATATTGACAAGAATTATTACAAGTGATGGAAGTCCTGACATGGATTAACTGGAATCCAGTTCAGTATCCATTAGTTGCACTGCCGTAGGCAGTTAATTATGTTTTAGCTATCTTCTTCTCTTCATTAAGTTTAAGCAGTATACGTTCAAATTTTCCGTTAATTGTATTCTGGTTTTCCTTTGTGTAAGAATATCTTTCTTCTCAGAAGTTTTTTTGGATAATGTTACTTAAATTGATGTATCTTGTCATTTTATTATCCATTCATTATATTAAATTCTCACTTCAGTAGATACTAAAACCTTATATCATTCTCCAGAAAAAAACCAAGCTGATGATTAATAACAGGTTTTTTTACCTCACTGGTTTACTAAAGTTCTGGCAAACTGGAACTTGTGTTCTGTAAACCCGTGACCACTGTGTGTTGTTCAGGCAGGTGGGTGGTCGAGTCATTTTTGGTGGCACTTCCTGAGTGAGTAGAGTTTGTTACACACAGTGAGGAGCATCAGTGCCTGACTATGACCCCAAGTGCTGGATTCCTACCACTGAAATATGTAGCTCTCAGATTGCACTGAATAGCAAACTGTGGCAGAGAGGAGTGGAATTCACTCCTCAGGTCAGAAATTTCCGTAGGTGAAATACCACAAAGTAAAATCATGTCCCAGAAATGAAACAAGATTTTTCAGTCAGTAAGAGTCCCAAAAGAGATAAATAACAAAGCCCAAAGGGCAACCTGGGAATAAGTGGGTTTGTTTTCATTAACAGATGAATTACTGTTGGTGTTTTGTGTAAGTTACAGTGGGACACTTATTTGAGAAGAAGGCAAAGTGAGTAGTTTGTCAGTTAAGTAGCTTCTCCAAACTCTTTAGTCTGATGCACTGCTTCTGGTTTAGTTTGTTGGAAAGAGAAGTAGCTGTAATGATGGTCCCACTTTGAAACAATTCTATTTTTCAGAAAGTGTAGACTTGGTTAATAGAAACATGGCATACATCTATTAACAATGAATTGCAAGTAAATCTGAAAGAAAACACTGTGTGGTAACCTTTGTGATGTATCTGTCACATGGAGATATATTAATTTTCAGGAAGTAATTCACAGATTCAAATCCTTCTTATTCAGAAAGTTGAAAATGATATGAAATCCCATTTAGCACAGACTGAATTTTTTTTTAGTTGTTTAAAAGGAATTGTTTGTATCTGCATTTGGCTCTTAAAATTATTTCATCCCTGATTGTCTTGCTTCTTGTAATTTTTAATGTATGTATGTAGATCACATAAAAATACTGAACTTGTTTACCATGTACAAATTGCTCTTTGTTAACTGTGGCTGAACTGTGTATCTGCTCCCAAGACTACAGTCTGCAAACAATGTTCACTTGGTGATACAAGATACTGTAATGGGGGCATTACTAATCCGTTTAAAAGCTCAGCTGTGGTTTCTCTAAAATCCCAGAAAATAATCAAATGAAAGCCTTTCTTCACAAGGTAGCTTTCCCACTTCATAGCCCTGGTTATTTTGAAGATCACTGAGGTACCTGTACGACTGCAAGTAGGTGCCTAGTGACAGGAATGCCCAAATTTTTAGCACCTCAAGACATTCTGACATGCTCTTAGAGAGAATCTATTGCAAATCCCACTTCTGATAATTCACCAGAATCAGCAAAGTCTGTTAAGAAGGTTGACCAGCTGGGATTAAGAATGCCAAGGAGTTCTGTTATTCTAATAAAATACCTGTAAGTGTAACAATTATTCCATCACTTGAATGATTTGATCAGTTTATGCTGTGTCAACTTCCTTTGGCACTGGCTCAAAGCTCTGAAACCCCTGTATGTGCTCAGTGAGTTGATGGGTTCAATCATTTTTTTGGTGCTGTAATCTCAGGACAGAGTCTGGCCCTGGAGCTGTTCCTGCAAGCCCTGGGCTGTGGCCTGGCACGAGGCAGTGGAGAGGAATTTGTGGTATCATTTGCATTTCGTTCCTGCTCCATCTTTGGATGTATTGGGTCTCCAGGGCTTCTCATCAGTGACTATTGAAAATAAACTGTAAAAAGTGGCACAACTTTTACTGTAATGCTCTTGTCCAATCACATGGAAAATGAACGTTTTCCTGAGAAACACAGAGCAGGCAAAGCTCTTCCAGCTTTTGCAGATGTGTCTATCAGTATTCATCACACACTGAGTGTGGTTTTTCAGAATCTCATTTATTTAGAGATTCTGTCATTCATTATAGCATTGTGTCAATTTGGCTTTTGCAAATTAAATCAAAGTTCTCAATAATAATAATAATAATAAATTTCCAAGGTTTATATGAGGCAGGATATTGGCATAGTTATAAAGGCTTAAATTGATATGTCCATTAAGTCATATATTCTTAGGAAGATAATAATTTCAAAGCCAGTCTTTTTTATGGAATATATTGTTGATGTGATAGTTGTAATCAAATTATAATACCTTGCAGAATTTACTGCAAGTCATAAACCATTGAGATTGGATTAATGCAAGTATTTAGAGAAAGAACATAATGGTAAATAAAGATTACTGGCTCAAAATTGTGACCTATTGCTAAGGTGCTTTTTATTTTTTTTTGTTACAAAGTCGTGTTTTATTGTATAGAACAATATCTGCATGGTAGCTGTCAAATTAATTAATAAGAACCTACTAACAAATGGGGTTGACTGACTCAGAGCAGCCAGCTAATAATAAATGAGACTTGGTGAACCCCCAGTGAACTAATGATGCTTCTGTCAGGATGTATTAATGGGTTAAGAATATGATCTTTTGTTACCAGAATCAGTTATTGGTGCTTTCACATATGGATGTCATTCCTTTTCCTCCAGAGAAAGCAGGGATCTCAGTGCTGCTCCAAGTTCCTTGCTGTTCCCAAGGTTCCACCCTGCCACTCCAAAACATTTTTCATCTAATGCCTTGGAATTCTGAGCACAGATAATATATACCTGTGGATAGAAATACAGTTACTTGCTTGAAATTACAGTGAGAAACCTGTGGAACAGCTGTTTAAAAGAAAGAAAAAAAGTACTTCTTGACCAAATTGTGCTGCTCTACACCCTTGCAAATCTTGGGAACAGCACTGGGCTCTTCCAGCTGGAACTCTAGGATATATGGAAAGAAACCTATTTAACATGAGAATACAACTTGATCCTTGGAAACAATGATAATACTTCTGTATTGGATCTTGAATCACTTCTAGAAAAGTGATTTAACAGCTCAAGAAAGTAAAGAATTTCTCTCCTTCACTTTCTATAGGTGAGGGTGTTTGAGTCAGCACCCTACTCCACATGGGATATTCAC